AATTGTAACAGGAAGCAGTAAGTTCTAGACAGCAGCCTATAAACTTCTATTCTCCTCTTCCCTGATTCACTGAATATATGGGAATTCCCTGAAAAGATCCCCACTCCAAACTTGTACAGTGTTAATTTTTATTTGGCTAAACTATCATTGACCTCAAACACACAGAAATGCCATGCTAGTCAACCTGGCTGCTCAGCACTCTTCCTATGTGACCTGCAGTGGCCCCAGTTCACGCCACAGAAGTGGGATGTATCTACAATGAAGCAAGAAATGTAGCACCCACTTTTAGTTGACCTTGGACTATTTTACTATCTAAAAATCACCTTAGAAAAATGAGAAAGTCTGACAGAAAAACCCTCCCCCAATACAGCCATGTAAAAACTAAGAACCACTAGCAATTAAGAAAGAGTACGACTAGAATTAATAAAATCACTCAACTAGGAATCAGCAACAATTCCATCACCTCTTTCTACAGTGTATTTTAAGGTTAACTTGTCACTTCTGTACTTTGTTTCTCCCAGTAATACTTGAACTCTTAACACAGGAAGGTATGTAGGAGTTTTATTGCCTACAGGTCCATTCTTACATAGCAGAGGGACATGCTTTTAAATACAAGGGTCTCCATTCCAAATAACAAGAAATAATGGAAAGCAATAATGCTTCCTTCTTCTTGCTCATATCAAATAAACAGCACATTCAGTTCCATAATCTGGGTTGGGCTCCTTCCCTCCTCCTCTCTTTGTACAAACATAGATGAAAAGCTTCTTGGACATATTTCCCAAGTATACGAGTTTCAATTTGTACCTGAGCCAACTCAAACGGGAAGCATTTGTAAATTTCTTCAGGTATCCCATAAACTCCAACCCTAGCTGTAAGTGACTTGCCTTTTTCTCAGCCTAGAAGTACTAACCATTATTGAAGAGTAGCAAAATGAATGATGAGTTCATGAACTTCAGTTCTGCTCAACTACAAAACCACTGTGTTACACTGCCCAGTTAAGTTAGTAGGGAACAATAACAAAGCTGTACTAGAGGACTACAGCATTTTTGTTTCTGGAAAGATGGCACACGATCCACAGAAGCATGCCACATGTAACAAAAAGAGAATTTGCTGTCAAACATGAAGTAGAAGGGAAACTGATGAAAAACTGTCCACAAAAAAAAAAAACAAGAGACACTGGGAAAGACAAAAGCTAATAATCAAAGTAACACATAAGAAAGAATGAGCAACTGGCCCCTTCTCTTGCAAATATTTTTGCAAAAAAAAGTATTTACTAATATGTATTTACCAACAATGGCAGAGTTAAAGTGACTACGCTTAAAAAGAAACAACAAAAAAACAAGAAAACACCCACATTTCTCCTGTTGCACAACCAGAACAGTGATGATGGTGCTACTCTAATAAGCTTCACACAGAAGAGTTTAATTTCTTTAGACACAGTGTCTTTTGAAAGTGGACGTCAACTTGAAAGAGTATCTGATGTCATCTTAAAAATGTTTTACTCTCGTTGAAAACTCAGTAAATGTGTTAATTTGAAGTACAAGAATAAAGCATTGGAATTTAAACAATGTATCCATTTTGCTTCAGCAATACAAAGTATAGATAAGGATAAAACCCAAACTTTGAAGAAGGTAAGAATTAAATGTAAGTGTATTTATGTCTATTTTCTGGAATTACATCCGCAGTAGGTTGGTTGTTTCTGTTTTGTCTTAGTCCACATTTTAGTGTAAAAATTCCCCAGAGGTCAGCAGACTTTTGACCAGAGTTTTCTCTCTCTTTTTGAGCTGATATAAGGAATTTGTTTCAGTTTTTGCTGAACAAAACAAAACATAAAGGGTTCATCAGATCACTTTTTTTGCAGTAATGATGGCAGGTTTCTAACTAGAGGCACTTACTTTGATATGAGGAGATAATGTCAAAATAGGAGAAAACCTAGTTAAATTCTTTATACCAAAGTATCATTAAAGAAAAAAAATAATTGAGAAAATAAATCAAGGAAAGAAACCAATAATGAATTTGCTCTACAATCATCACTGTGACTAGTTTATAAGTGGAGGCACTTGGAACAGTTTGCTCTTTGGAGATATTTTCTTGATTTTTTTTTCTACTTACCTAAACCTTTTTGTCCAGGGTTTTTAGCAAAGTTAAAAGTAAACTGATAAAAATCTTTAAACTTTATTGGATCCTTTAGCTCTTGTTCCAGTCTTGGCAATAGAGCTTTCAGTTTTTCTGTGCTGTCACACCTATTGCAAAAGAAATTACATTATTTGTAAATATTTAAATATTTAAGAAATTTGGACTCAGAATTTCTAATATCAAACAGAACAAGAACTAAAATAGTAGTTAAGAAGCACAGAGCATTTTGCTAGTTAGCATTCTTTAAAACACATACAATCATAGTTAGCCCAAATATTAGAAGGCTTCCCAGCAAAATGAACTATTACATGCAGTCATCTTCTCCCCACCATGGTCCACACATGGATAAAATCTAGAAAAAAGATGAGCCTTTCCTAATGTCTTGAAGGCCAGCAAACTGTTTAACAGTCTAATACAAGTAAAACTAAGATAGAATCAAGTTACTTAAGTCCCAATTCCAAAAAAAAAAATGTATCCCTTAACATGAGACTTAAATATTTCCAGCAACATCATTTGAGCTGACAAAACGCAATTTTGAAAGAAAAAGGGTTTCCCCATACACCCAGGAATCAAATGAATATTCAAGGTCTTGGGGATATTACCAATACTTTCTTAGAATTTTTACATAAAATTGAAAAGAAAGTAGTTTTCAAAGAACTAGCTAGCCTGAAAAGTTATTGCACTTAAAATTTCTCAATGGCTAATATAATTCATATATTTCAAAGCTTCAAGAAAAAGAAAAGAGAGTGAAGTGGAAACATGGAAAGAAGTGAAGAATTCTACCAACGGCCTTCGACTGGAAAGATGTTTCATGGGGCTTTGGTCTATTTAAGGGAGACACTCACTTACACTATCCAGATGGTTCTCATTCCCTCTCTATGTGTACTACAGGGACTGAGACTCAACTAATTCTTTTTCATTTAAAACCTCAAAGTTTTTTTAAAAAAATCTCAAAAGTTCCCTAGTACAGATGCTGCATCTCCTCTATGTAACAGGAACTACTCTGAATTAAAAGCAAGCAGCATATTAGATGCTACCAGGTACGGTCCGACCATATTCCCCAAAACCCAGCCTGCATGTTGAGCAGAAGAGAGTAAAAATAGCAGATTTCTGTTGAACTGCATCCAAGAGCCATTAGGGGATAGGAGTAACCTGATAATGAAGGGACAAAATACAGCCAGAAGCCACATGTGGCTCAACAAAACACTTCTTGTCAGATACATCAGATAATACTGGCAGCCTTTGATATAGCAGCACGAGCACTTGATTGTTGTCTCCATGTCCATGGAGAGCCACATATTGTTACAGCCCTCTTCCCATCTGACCCCGCAAAAAAAAAAGGAAAAAAAGAAAAATCACTGAAAGGGATAAAATAAAGAAGTGGACCTCAGGTGATATCAAAAGTTGTTTTATCACAATTTCTGAATATCCTTACCTAAAACGGAAAGCTTAGAAAGAGGTCAATAATTGATAAGGTCAGCAGCAAGAGACTGCTAGGCCCCCCGCTCAAGAAAAAAACCTGCATTTTGACTGAGGTTGGCACCTTATTAATGCCTTTCTGCAGTAGACCAATCTAAAACCAAATTAAATTATATTAGCACAAAAAGTATGCATCCAAAAAGTAAACCCTAGTTCTCCACCTACCTAATGCAATCTGTTCACAAAAGTCACTTTAAGCCTTCCAAATATGAGTATGACTGCATCTTTTCCAAGTAAGTTATACATAAAATATTATTTTGTGGTGATAAGTGCTTGATTGCTAGCTTGATTTGCTAGTAAACAGAAACAACATGGTTTAACCTCAAAGTCGCTAATCCAGAAGTTTCAAAATTCAGGAAGAAATTTTTTGAGGTTGTGCCAGTCAGACTAAAAAACCTTTTCTACCACTAAAATCCTGATATTAACTTCAGTTTCTTAAAGATATGCTGAACAACAAACTGTCTAGCATACAAGACAATAAAACGACTGCTTGTAAAACCAGCCCAAAAAAAATGCATTTGATGACAAGATAAGGGCATGTTTTATCTGCTTTTATCTACGTCTTCAACAGTGAGTGAACTCTATTTTTCATCCCCAGTGACTTTCAACTTTAGCAGCACACAACTGAATACAAAATCATAATGCAGCCATGCATGTGCTTTCATGAGTCACACCAAGAGACCAATACGTTGCCTTCCTTGCTGTACAGTTGGGAATTATTTTGCTTCAGCTTTGCTGACGTCACTGCTAAGGTTTTGCAGTACAGCACCAGTTGAAGGAAGAGAGGACACTAAGGTCTTTGGCACCTGTAGAGCTTACACCACCATTACCAGGGACTGAACGGATGGCCTTTAACAGCTAAAAAACATGAGTCTTGAAAAAAAGCAAGAGCCTTGTCTTGGAAAAGAAAGTCTAGAACTTATAAGCAGTAAGAACCCAAACTGATTTAAACAACATAGTTAAGTAAGGCTCTGAACAGTGAGAAGAAAACAAAGCGAGTATTTTGATCTGTTGTGGATCTGAAAACACAAGCAACTCATAAGAATTCCAACTCTGACTTCTCTCCATCAGTTTACAGAACTTGCCCTCATGGAAAAGTGGTAATGGCTGGCATGCTACCAACACAGAAAGTTTTATTCCTCTAGCAGTAGCTCATCTGCTTTAAGAGAATATAGTCTTCATCCTCTCATTCCCCTTTCCACTCTCTTTCAGCCAACTCAAATGCTTTATTGATTATTTGTAACTGCACTATGAGGGGAAAGAGCTGTTGCAGGTATAAACTCCAAGATGGTCAGAAGATAATCACTGTATGGAAACTGCTCAGTTGCCAAAATACAGATTCAATAGCTTTGTTAAAACAAACAAAACAGTCGCCAAAGTACTGATTCAATAGCTTTGTTAAAACAAACAAACAAAGTGCCTTCTATCTATCTCTCCACACACCACCATGACAATTCTGCAAACGCCAGTTTAGTGCCAAAATGGCTAACATGGTTATCTAGTAGGTTATTAATAACTTCTTTAACTTATTAAGTAACCATGTTAGCCATTTTGGTGAGATCCAGTAAGAAGCTGAGACTCTCCAAAACGAACCAAGCGTGACTATTGTGCAAATCCAGTCACACAGCATTGCAAGTTTTTAATACGTTCCCTTTTACACTGCCACGATGCATCTACACAAAGGCCTGTGTAGTCTGCCAGCACGGGTTACTTGGGCACAACAGAACTGTAACAACACAAGGCCACAAAGAGTATTCAGAGTTTCACATTTGATTCAATTACACACATCTTAAACAGAAACAGAGCTCAGGCCTTACACTTTGAACTGCGCAGAAACGGATACTCACCCCAAATCTGTCATGCCATCTACAAATTCCTTTTTACTGAATTCACATTGAGTAGCTGCCCTGAACTTCCATGCTACAACCAGAACACTGATACTGGCAGGGTCCAGGCTTAAATCATCACAGAACTGCTGAATACCATCAATTCCAATTTTATTTTCATCTTGTGGGTCTGCAGTTCAAAGCACAAAAGGGAAAATTACCATTATTCATTAAAATGATTTATGAAAAGTCACCAGCACAGCTTTAACATGATGCATAACATAGGCCTTCTGTTTCACATAAACTTCACGAAACTATGTCCTTATTTGAAATCTAGGTAATTTTAAAAGTACCTAAAGAGCAGCTATAAGTAGATTATGTATTTGGCAAGCTTCTTTAAGAATCAGCTTGCATTTTTTTCCTACATTCACCAGCTGACTTTAAAAATATAGTATTTTCTTTCCACATTATTCCATCAAAGATCTGAATAAAGAGGAAGAAATGCCAACTACAGCTGAAAAAGGGTAAGGCTAATAAAGTGTGGACATGCTTAGTAGTTTAACATTTTGGGGGGAGGATTTTGTTTGGTATGTGCTAACCAACATACTGGTGTATTTTCGTGTATTTTTTTCCATGTTGTTATATATGAGAAGGAATAAATTCACTTTAACTGTTTACAAACCAGTTAATAGATTTTTTTATTTATTTTTAATCTAGGAAAATCACCAAAAATCGCTCCAACACCTCCTTAGCACAACAGCGTTAAGAAAAGCAACACACCTTAAGAAACATTATGTTACAGTAATACTCAGTTTAATACTTTTTAGAGACAGAACTGCACTTCAGAGTTACCTATGTTAGAATTTGTCACAATGCTAACATTAAACTTCATTTATAAATAATGAAATGCAACTCTAAAAGATAACAATAAATCTTTCACGGATAACTATATTTGACTGATTCATTTGTCTTTCAAGTTAGCTAGCTAATTCCTATAAAATGTAGTAGCTGTTTAATTTTTGCTCTGGAATTTCAATGAGGCTGTAACAGAATTCTCAAAAAAAAAGTAAAAAAAGTATTTTTCTTTAAAAAAATAAATCTCATCTCTCATTTTCAACAACTTACAAATAGTGTACAGCTTACAAACTACAGAACTGGTTTTCCCAGCTCCTGATAGGAAGACATTTCAGCATAATTGCTTTGCTATGTAAAAAAAAACAACTCAAATAAATGTAAGACTAACTCCTTAAACGGGAAGCTGATAAGATTTTTAATTGCACTATGTTTTAAATTCTGATCCTGAAAGCTGATCAAAGAGCAAGGGTTTTTCTGTTGTTGCTTTAAAATAAGACCTCTTCCAGTATTTCAGTCACTACCACAGTGGCAAAAATGATAAATTTTAAATAGTGGACAGGAAAATAAGTTAATAAATATCTTCACCCATGGTATAATTCAATTGAAATTGGGGAGCTCTGAGCAGGAATAAGAAGTAAAGATGGCTGTTGTATGCCAGATTTGGTTTAACAACATGTAAAAATCATTTCTGGTATATTTTGGGAATAAGTGAAGAACTGAAGGCAAAAGGTATATGGGAGTGGGATCAATGGAAAAAAATCTGATGGATTTCAACAGGGAATATTCCATATTTATTACCACTCCTGGCATCCAGACAATTAGAAAAAAAAATAAAAACGAAATCACTGTTTTGATAGATATACTGGATATTAAATAAGAAAACTAATGCAGAGATAGCAGAGGAAAAAAATACCTCTCAGATTTCAAACCTAATGCAATGTTTGTAGTGTTCTCTAGGCTCTATAGGAGAAAAGAACTCAATTTTGTCAAGAAGCCAAGGTGTAAATCTTATGCTACATGTAAAAAATGGAAAAGGTTCTTAGCCAAGCTTTTAACTATTTTCTTTCAAATCCTGTGAAAGTTTTAAGTTCACATGTTTCACTGTGATCTCAGTGTCAGAACTGCAAAGTTGTGTTGCTAAGCAAAAAAAAAAAAAAGGATACAAAACTCTAACAGTGACTTAACTTCCCATCACAAAAACCAAGCGGTGCAGTTTGCTGCTGCTAAAATGTGATGAAGATTAAATAAAATTTATGACATTCTTTGACTTTTAGAGATTTAGTAGCATTTTAAAACATATTTTTGACCCAACTGTGTTTCAGACTGACCAGCAAATATTGAAGAACTAATAAGATTAACAGATTTCTTCACACAAGCAAAGGAAATACTCTAGTTTCACTGATCTTCTGCCCCTTTGCAATTTGTTACCATCTTATAATGAAATACTGAAAAATATCTATACTTTAAATGGAATACATTTAAAGAATAATGAAAAAAAGGCAAAAACGGTACTTAAAGAACAGGAAAAGGTGTGCATAAAGCCAATTATACATAAGCATTATAAAAGTATATAAAATCACAGTTGAATTGTTAAAAGTCCTTTTCTTAAAAAAAAAAAAAGTTTTTTTTTTTCAAGCCAGGTTGTGGCTGGTAATGATTTCACCTTGCTCTGCACCGATGTTTAATAAACAATGTATGTATTCATGCAAAATGGCCTCAGTTCAAAAAGCTTTGTTACTTGGATCACACAAATTCTTACATTTACATAACTATCTTTTCCTCTTATTTTTTCCTGTTTTAACAATATTGCAAGATTACAAGAAATGGAAATGAAACAACTCTGCCTTTGGTCCACTTCCTTGCAATTTTACCTCAAAGGCTCTCTGAAGAAGAGGAATATAATTTGTGCTGTAATATGTGATGAAAAAGAATAAACTAAGGATGCAACTTCTAGATTAATATTTGAGTTTTCTTGCATGTTTTGTCAAATTCTTAGCCTTAATATTTTTTTTATGTTAATGGGTAGCAACATTCCTATTTTTGGACTAAATTAAACAATTAGTATAGAAGTCACACGTATTGTTTTGCCACACAAACATGTGGCGTCAACATATATTTTCAGTCACCAGCAAAACATTAAGCAAGTGTCTTCACTTTTGCAGCTACCATATGTAGCCTCATTATAGGTTTAATTTCCTAATGTGAATAGACTTTGAATTCTACAGGAACATATTGAAAATTTGTGTGTTGAACATTAAGAACATTTTAAACATTTTTAATTCTTCTCTCTCTGCTACTAACCGCCTGGATGTGGCAGTAGGTGGCAATTTCGTAAAAATAATAATAATAAAGTCTTACCTTTGTATCGATTATACAATTGTTCCAATTTCTTCCGATTCACTGAGTTTTTCATGGATTCTTTGTAGTACAAGTCTGGATTTTGGAAGTAGTTATCCGTTGCCACTTCTAGCTTCCATTCATTCTGCATTAAGCAGTATATAGCAGTCCTTTCACCAGCCTGGGTGAAGGCCATAAACTGGCGGACCTTGTCCTTCTGAGACGACTTAAGCTTATGCTTTGGGATGCAAAAGAAGCAGGAAAGCCAATGAAGCTAATCCAGAAGTTTGTTTCAGCATTCTACTACTAATGCCTATTTTTAAAAGGTTTTAGTTTTCTTGTCGGTGACAATTTTCACTTCAAAATTATAGGAAGACAAAGCCTTGTTCTTCTGCAGTTAAAAAGACAACGTTTTCTTCTGAAAATTTAAATGACAGCATCTATATGTACACTTCTAGCAGCAAATACTCGGGCAACAACAAATTCATATTTCTGCTTTACTACTCCCACATGCAATTTTGTATTCATTTTGTAGGACTCGTAAACACTCTTTTATCATATGACAACACAGTTATCTGCTGAAAAATAAGCCTATTAATTACATAAACAAGAAATACCAAAGACACAACTCTCAGATTCTGTATAAAAGCCCTTCATAAACTCTAAGACAGAAATCTGCTTAACGGCTCACCTAATATTTTCCCAGCTCCAGAAAACAATACAAACTTTAACCATTTTAAGTGAGCAGCTCAGTTACAAGCATTTCTCAACATTTTTATGTTAGAAACTATTATCACTGGAACACATACGAGCAAAAGAAAATAGATAATGCAGACATGCCAGGGATCTAATGAATGATAGAATGACAATGTGAAGTTCCTGTAGACGTGATCTTAAACAAACTCTGACTGAGGAAGTTTATACTATCTATATTAAACAACAAAGCAATCTAATATAGGGTCATGTATCTAGGAACTAGGAAGATTTTTACCTTAATTGCAATGAATTGTAGCAGCCATACCTATGTAACAATCTTAAACTTATGCAAAATCTGAGGTGTGAACGGGGACTTCATCTAGAGCAAACTTCATGTTAATATAGCTAAACATTTTGTTGTACACAAAGTTGGAAGGAGGGGGAAATGGCTTAATAACAGGGAAAAAAGACAGTTTAATGTATGTTTTGATACCTTGTAATTTTGTTAAACGATCTTTAACATATTCTGGGCCAACAATGGAGTTCTCTGATAAAACACCTAACTTGCAGGCTACCGCTTAAATTAGGTGTAGTAGAAAAGATCACTTCACTAGTTTCTAAATATCAGAGAAAAAAACATTGTATCACTGCCTCAGGCTGCACTAAACTGTAAACATACAAACACCTCTCACTTCAGTTATCTCTTGTAAACATATGGATGGTGACTTCTTCACTACAGATGGTCCCAGACAAGAATCACATTATGTAAACAAGATAGGCATTTTGCTCTTTCCTTAACATTCTTCGATTATATATAAAAAAGGAGAGCAACATACAAAATGGGAAAAGAGCCACAAGAGCAACTACAGTGCCTTTTGGCAAGGAAGTAATCAGTGACTTCTTGGTTTGCTTTATTCCTGTAAGCTCTTTGCAAACTCTCCTATCGTTGAAATTGATCTAGGAGAGCCTCTTAGCACCGGCACCCAACACGTAAGTTTCTTTCAGGCAATGACTTGAGCGAGGACGTTCGTGAAACACGGAGTAATTCGCAGCAGCAGGAGGCACGAAACACCACGGGACGATCCGCCCTAGCACCGCTCCCCGCTTCGCCGTTTTGCTCGGCGTTTTCCTGCCCTCTCCCTTCACCTTCGCCTCGGCCGGGGCGGCCCCGCGGCACCTGCGGCCCCAGCGCGTCGCGGCGGGGGGGGAAAGGACGGGACACGCGACTCCAGGGAGGGACGCGGGATCCCGAAGGCCAAAAAAGGGAAAGCTTCGTGCCGGG